TTTGACCTCAATGCCATTGTTGGGACGATTGAAGTCTTTCTGCACAGTAGAGTGTGGCGTTGGCGGATTAGGTCAACTGAATATGATCAAGGGATCCCACACTATCTATCAAGTCCAAAGGTAGTAACTACTTGTGGGGCAAAGGAGGAACAATTCAGCATTTGCTGGCGTTTTTTGCTGTCTAATTACCTGTACTGCGGTAAGACGCGTTGGGAACGACCCATTACCTCAAGAGTCTCGTATATCTGTCAGTTCTTCACCTCTCAGCAAGCACCTCTCCACAGCCCATCGTCAGGTTCTCACAGTGATGCAGCCGCGAATTGGCGTGCGTGAGGAGGACCAACCCTCAACCACAACCTCTCAAGGCTTCCTGAAATCGCATTTTCTCTGAGCTTAAACCTGTTACAGTATCGTAGTCATTTAGGAAAGGAGCATCGCTGCTCTGCATTAGCTAATCGCTTCTGGAATTGGCAGATGGAGTGGTAGAATATCGAAGCGCAAAGACCAGCGCGAAGGTCGCATTTTGTACAGCACTCCCTCGGCTACCTTCTAGAAATTAAAAAAGTAGGACAAGGGACATTCTTTGGTATATAATACAGGCTCATTCAAATGCTTTCTATATCCACAAATCTTCACCTAGAGATGTGTACACTGCTCTTCTAGGCGTCGATTTGGATGCAGTGGATCTGCAGAACACAGGTGGTTGGGTGGGACATGAATTTCATTACGAAGGTCTTTATTTACCGGTGCGTATGCGTCAGGTGCGTGGACGACGTATGCTTGCGTGGCAGTTGAACACGCCTATCAAGGACGGAGCCAGGATACTTCCATTCCAATCCCACCACTTCACAGCATTTGGGTGGTCTTGGAAACGTGGTTATGGGTTATTCGTAGGATTAAATCACTGTGCTCCTTCCAAGATCTAGAATGCAGGGCAACAGCCAAGATCTAGAAAACGTCCAGTATTTTAATAATAGGAATGCTTCACGCGTGCTGGACTGCAGGTGTCGCCAGCGCCTCCTGACTGGTGCCGCTTCCACAGCGCCTACAATGCCGGGTGTAGGTGTTGTTCAGTCTACCTCAACTCGAACAACTCCACATGGAACTGTTTCGCCTCCATCCACCTCTGAGGTGTTGGCAGTGCCTACTAACTTAAATCGACAGGCACCTTAAACTGTAGAGTAGAAGTACGCATCGAATGAAGTGGAAAATGCGTAAGCCGATACACTGTCCAAACCTCCCAAAGTACTCACTAGCCGCAGCATCATCACCATCTCCTTCTCTCTCCGCCAGTGGGATGCACGAGAAGCAGTGGGAGGGAAGTAGGTGGTCCGTTGCGCACAGGCGTGGATCAGTGGGCCGGAACGATGGCATAGACAAGGGAATTTCGTACCCTGTAGGAAAAAAACAAGGAATTTGTTGACTAGGGGCATTCTCAGAATAATTGTTAGGGGTGTGGGTGATTGGACTGTATGGATCTTGATGAAAGGTAAGTGGAAGGTCTCGGAACATGCATGGATGATGCAACACATTCAACGATCCCACTGCAAGGTTGTTTTTGTTTTGGACAGACCACTTTAGTGGCAAATGATCAGTTTGCACCAATACCAGCGTTGTGTGAACGTCTGTGCTTTCACACAGCAGTGACGATGACTGATTCCCTTCCTGCCTCATATAACTTTACAATTTGTCAACGCTCCATACAAACGGTAAGCGCCCATCACTTCCTCCATCCTACAAAGCATTCAACGCGTTCTTCCACTCATTCGTCTCAAATTAAGACTCTGACACCAAAGGTGGGTGATTACGAAATTGGTCTACCAGATGTGCTTCTTCCAATGTAGATCCAATGTTCCCTCAAGGTAACGTTGCATACATCATCGTCCGTTGCTTTGTCGTTGAAGACCTTAAACCAGTCTTCAAAATTGCAGGTGAGGTTCTGCGCGCTCGGAAGTCTCTAGAGTGCCTCTGTAAATACTCTTCATTATTTACTGCTTTGAAGGACGGGTGTATCAATGCAGAAGAAGTTATGATTGCTTTCAGTGGCAGTCTTTACTATCATCTCCCTTTCACCAATGATCTACTGAATGAGGTTTTACTTGCCTTCTTTATTAGACGAAAAGACTAGCAGGGATGCCACTGGGGAAGGAGGAAGGCCTCCTTTACCCAAAGCCGTGCGGGTGTTTAAGTGTGAGGGATTGAGTCTGGGACACTTGCAGCACTCGGATTCTTCTCAGCTAAAAGGTACAAATGATCCAAATTGCTTTTAATGCCACTGTGTTTAGTTGTGCGTACGTGAAAGTATTTGGTCAACAGGCAGTTGTCCCCCACCATCCAGTAATTACTAGGTCCACATTTCCCCATCCCTTTCACATGCAACTCTCACAACCCTCTACCTCATTTGCCTATGCATGTATAGACCTTAAAAACAATGCCAGATTGGGAATGCAACATGTGCTGCCGATGCAAAAACACTCCTGGTCCGATTTTTTAACTACCCTACGGCCTCCTTCGCCAGTATCAATGCTAGCCACGAGTGTTAGTATTTATGCAAGCCATCTGTGCAAGCAGGAGACGCAGCACCAAACTACCGCCCACCAGCTTCCTTTAAAAGACGATTTTTGATAGCTTCGTACATTAGCTAACGGCTTCTTGACTACCAACACAACTACTTAATTGCTTCTTCAGTAGCGCTATCACAAAACCTCTACAAGTGTGTGCTCAAGACTAAGCACTAGTATGACATGGTATGCCAGACCACATTCTAGCAGGCAAGGCGAGCACTGGCACCTACGCTGCAGCATCATACACAAGATTGTGCAATCAGAATATTCTTCTCCAACCAAAATTTTACATCAGCGTTAAATCAACCACTGCAGTCAATCCACTCAAGGCACGACCACCAAGGCCCGGCGGCACCAACTTTATTGCGTCAACACTTGGACCAAATTGCCGATGTTAAATGCTGGCACAATTCGGAGGTGCCGCAATCCACTTTCGCGTATGCAAACTCCGCCCATACACAGCTCATTAAACAATTTCTCAATCTACTACCACCTCTCATGTAATTCCAGGTGACATTCCACGCACCCTTACCTCTCCACCTCCCCCATCTAACACATTGTCAGGCAGGCTGCAACACCTCAAGCAAATCGCACGAATACACTCTGCCACAATTGACGCGGTGACTACGCAACAGTCCACTTTCGTTCCACGTCAGACCACATCTCGTCAACACGTTATGCATGATGTCTACCTGTAGTTGGTGTGACCCACCTCTTCCGCCT